AAAGCAAGTGATGCACAATGCAATTGCTCACCACCTGCTGACCGATGCCCAACCAGTCCCCGAGCAGCGGTCCCCCCTGCCAGCTTTCCCCCAGTTTATGTACTGAGCATGACATCACATGGTATGGAACATCCCTCGGGCCAGTTTGGGTCAGCTGTCCTGGCTGTGCCCCCCTCCAGCCTTCTCAGTCGGTTGAGCACAGGAAGCTGAAAAGTCCTTGACTAGTGTAAGCACTGCTCAGCAACAACTAAAACATCGGTGCGTTATCAACATTGTTCTCATCCTAAATCCAAAACACAGCACTGTACCAGCTACTAGGAAGGAAATTAACTCTATACCAGCCGAAACCAGGACAAGTAGTTTAGGCCAACGTTGACCATCTTGACAGGGTACAACCATGGCTTTCCTACCTTCTGGCCTCTTCCAGTCTTCCTCTTCACTGAACTATGGTCCAACAAGCAAGTTACCACAAAGAAGATGGAAAAATGTACTATGGAAATGACAAATCTGGTCAGAAGAAACCTGATTTTAAAAGGTAAGTAGGTTTATATATGTAGAGGAGTAGATAATCTCTATGCCTACATCTTCATTTAGCTCACAGTAACATATAAATGTGCTGACGGCCCTGGTAAAAAAAAAAATCAAAATTAATATATTAGCTTCACAAACTAGGCCTGAGGCAGACTTCCAGCTCATCACTGTGCAGGGAGCTACTGTGTGCTGCTAGTATATCCCTTCCATTACACTGGCTAAGCCAAAGCTTTTAAAAAGATAGATCGCATTAAGTATATTCTCCCATACTTCCCAACATCAGAACCCTAACATCATTTCCAGGGATAGATGATTACAGTCCCTTGAAAAGAAAACACTCAAGTTCAGAAGATCCCTTGAAATAGCCATATCCACGCACTTCTGACACCCACCAGCTGTACATGTAAAATAACAAGCAATCTATGCGAACAAACTGCACACCCTGATATTTCTACTACTCCTGACTGGTTAAGAGGCTGTAAGTAGAAATAATAAAAAGAAAATTAAAGCAATCACCATACAAATCACCTGTCCATTTTTCCCCAAGAAGGTTTATTTGCCTTTGACAAAACAAAACAGCTGTTAAAAGTCTGACAGATCTTTTGCAGGGGGTTATATTTTGCAATTTTCTTCAAATGAGCTTTGTGATCTAATAAGTATTTTCCAGCTCATAGTTTACAGAGTTGTATGGAAATAGGGGCTGGTTTTGATTCCTTTGAAGCCAATAGGAATTTTGCCATCAACTCTGGTGCAAGCAGAAATGCAATGTTCTTACCATAGAGAAGTTTTGGGGGCCAAAGTATGTGTCTTGGCTTAATTTTTCAGCCTTATATACCAGCTTTCTCACCTGATATGCAGGGCATTTTCAGCTCCCAATGGTCCTATTGGAATAAAGGTTGTATTAAAGATCAGACCCTTTACAGCTGAGCCCCTCATCTGCTGTAGAAGGGAGCCTGATGAGTTTCTACGTACAGCACGTTATTTTAAATGTGTTAACTCTTCATGTGTAGACATTACCTCAGCAGTCTGTATGGGGTGAGCAGACCCTAGTGAGCAAGGCTGGGGAAAGGCAGCAACGATCTCTGCTCAGATGCTCCCATGCTGCAGCCTCCACTGATGCTTTAGGGAGCAGAGTCTTCAGCCACCAGCGTTGCATGGCTGCCCTTGCTGTCACTACTGCTGATTTCACTTGGATTACTTAGAAGCAGATAGGCTTTCAGGATTGTTTCCTACTGCCTCACCCTCTGGAAATGTTTTTGTTAAATGATAAAAAGGTTGATTTTATAATTTTTTTTTTTTTTCAGCTAGGCAGGTAGGGCCTTCTCCTAATCTTCCTCATATTTTCCGAAAAGAGTTACTGGAGAAAATACCACACTTCCACAGCCTCCAGAATTACAACACATTATCACAACCTCCAGAAAAGAGGTACTGCAGAGAACTTAAGTTCTTATAGGCCATTTGTGGTTTCCCATACATTGACATTCTCAACTACAAAGACAAATGGAGAGAATAAACAGGCATCGCTAAGACATCAGGAACAAAAGTGTTCAGGGCATTTTCAAAGGCAGAAAGAGCAGTTAGAGGCCAGGATCCCTTCAGGCAGCTGAACAATCCTAATGGCCATTGCTGCTCATGACAATGTCCTTCCTACTTACTAAAATGCAGTGATTTTCTTATCGAGGTGACACCAAACTGTCCGATTTGGTTCAGGACAGTGTTGTGTGCGATGGGCGCTTTAGAAACACTCAGAAAGTGCTGGCAACTGCCCTCCCATGAGGCCACTGCTGTAAGTCATTGCTGTCGATAAATCTTGTTGCTCTTAATTGTTTGGGTTTCTCGGAGAAACAAATATTTACCAGCTTCTGGTTTGCAGAGTCTTCTAAAGGTCACAGATGCTAGCTCCAAGGGGAGCCAAGCTATTCAACCTTAAACTATTTAACGTTGGCTTCCTGTGCAAGCCTGCGCTGCCATAAAAGCGGGCATCACTATGGGACTTATGTGTAAGGATGGAGGAGTAAAGTTCTTCTCTTCTTGGCCCATTTCAACACGTTATTTTTAAAAGTTTATGTATTCAGTGGTGGAAATGGACACCTTCATTCTGCTTATCCTTTTGGATGGGGTTGATGTGTTCAATGTTAATGGTCTGCTGGGAAGTTAAAATTACTTTCTCATATAACAAATCTGGATGGAGGGGAGAGAAGCGGGTTTTCTTGGGATTGTTATTAGTGGTGAAAGTTTGTATTAAGAAAAAAAAAGGTCCAGGTTTTCCAAAACTATTATAGCCCTTCTACATCC